GAAGTTGTCCTTCCCGATGGCCTTCTGGGCAGTGCTGAAGGTGCAGTGGGCACTGCCGGAGAGCTGCAGGTCCCCACTGGCAAAGGAGAAAAGCTCCATGTGAACGGGGAGGCTAGAGGCACCGCAGGGGCCCAGAAATGAGGGTCTAGCGTAGGCATGTGGAGTGCCGTGACTTGAGTTTGGAATCCTTCTGCCTCTCGCCAACTATGCGAACTTGGGTGAATTTCTCCGCCTCCCTAGGGCTCAGTTACCTTATCTGGAAAATGAGGGGGTGGGATTAGATCACGTCTTGTGTAACAAAAAGGACCCAAATGAGTGATGGGACTTATCCACAGAGGGCAGCAGCAAACTAGTCTCCCTGTAATTTTGGTTAGGTGGTCATCAAAACTGGGCAAATGATTTTGTCTCCCGGACCCTCAGTTGCTCAGTCTGTGAAATGGTGATGACAGTTCCTCACTCACAGCGTTGTTATGAGGAACAGTGAGATCACACGTGTAATCTCACCCTAGTGCTTGACATACAATACGTATTAACTGCTGTTACCATCAGTAATATGATCACTGTAGTATCTTTTAAAATACACTGGGGAAGAGCCTGTTATCTGTGCTCAGCACTGCAGGGGAATTCTCGATGTTTATTCCTCACTGCAGACTCTAGTCTAGCTGATGGATGGGCGGCTCCAGTCTTCATCCCATCGTTCCCAAGATGCCTCCACACAATGCCCACTGCTTGTCATTCTGCACCAACCTGGCCAGCAAGGAGTTGATGTAGTCAGGGGTGGTTGGGTCAGGACTCAGAGGTGGGGATGTCACAAACGCAGCCGCCTTGGCCCAGTTCTTGCTCCAGTAATGGGTCCCATCCGTGCCCAGGCTGGCGGTGATGGGCTCACCAAAGACCACGTTTCCTACAACAGGTAGGACAGAGGTAATGGGTGATATAATATATGTGCTGCCCTGGGCCGGGCTTAGATAATCATAGCCCCTAAGCCTACTCAAGGCTGTGGCTCTGGAGTCAGGCAGGCCTGGGTTCAAGTCCATGTTCCCCCACTTTTCTAAGCCTCTGCTTTTCTATCTTCTAAATGGGAACAATTCTGTATTCTGTAGAAGCCACTGGTTCCAAGATGCAGCATCAATTCTCAAATTCTGAGGCAAATTAACATTTGAGGCAAAAGAAGAAAAAAAAAAAATATATATATATATATTAATTGGAAGATTCATCCTCATTTCAGAAATGTTAAAATGTGGAATAAATAGGTCCTGGGGCTTCCCTGGTGGCGCAGTGGTTGGAAGTCCGCCTGCCGATGCGGGGGACACGGGTTCGTGCCCCGGTCCGGGAAGATCCCACGTGCCGCGGAGCGGCTGGGCCCGTGAGCCATGGCCGCTGAGCCTGCGCGTCCGGAGCCTGTGCTCCGCAACGGGAGAGGCCACAGCAGTGGGAGGCCCGGGGACCCGAAAAAAAAAAAAAGAAAAAAAAAAATAGGTCCTGGAATTGAAGAAATAAGACGACGTCTACTTCTCAGCCTTGTGAAGATGAAAGGTTTGGCATATACACAAAGTGTCCGGCACATAAGAGACGCTGAGCAAACGTGATTCCTTTTACACCTCTTACTCTTCTCCACTGTAGAAGCCCAAAGCCCCACACGTGCCCACATCCCTGGGAACCGCTACATCCTGCTGTTGCAAAGACATGCCTTGGTTCCACAAAGTAAAACCAATTCCTGAGGATGACACATCTTATTTGCATCATGTTTGTTACTCCTTAACCTAAAGCAATGAGTGATTCGCTCAAGAACAGCCAACACGGGCTTCCCTGGTGGCGCAATGGTTGAGAGTCCGCCTGCCGATGCAGGAGACACGGGAGAAATGAAGACCCAACACAGCCCAAAATAAATAAAGTAATTAATTAATTTAAAAAAAAATAAATAAAACATAATAAATAAAAAAAGAGACAAAGAAAGCTGAGAGCAACCAAATCAAAAAACAAATCCACCCATGATAACAAGTGCTGAAAACTATTAAAAAAAAAAAAAAAAAAAAAAAAAGAACAGCCAACAACCAGGGACACAGCAAAGCTGAGGTTAGCTTCCCGGATCCTGTGTCTAGAATGAGAGGCTGGAATGCCCAAACTAAGGAGAGGGGAGGAAGGATACTGGGACATACACTGATCTAAACTGAGCTTCTGAAAGAAGAAGGGATAGTGATACAGAAGGTAAATGCTATCTCATAGAAGGTGGGTTGGTACCAAGTTTCTCTGTGCCAGAATCTTGGGCTAACAATTCCTGTGCAGCCCTTGGCTTCTTTAAGTTTGGTCCTCCAACTTCCACATTCAAGTTCTCCACAAGGTGGAAGTAAGAAGGCTCTATGGCTAGGATTACAGGTTTTGCCTTGCTTCAGCTCCAATCAATTGGTTTTAGTTGCCTGGATTTCTGTGTTGGGAAGAATTTTAAATACGCTCCTGGTCTCACTAGAAAAGGCTCATGATTGATTTGTGATGTCTGCCATGGGCAAAAGAAGGAAGCAGTGGCAATGATTCATACAGGACAGACCTGTTCTTTGGGGCGGCAGTGAAAAGGATCCACACAGGACTAAAGAGAATTTCAAGGACTCTCCAAAAATATTTACCAAACTAAAGCATATGGGACCAAAAAGAAATGAAGAAATGAAAGTCAAGGCAAGCATTCAAGTACTATTAAGAGAAATACAACCTTAAAAGGGGAAGACCTCTCCCTTTGGACTATCTTTATTTAGATGGAAACTAAAATAAGTAGAGATTGTAATTATATTAGTGCCACAATTGGATTTGGAGACTAGCTCTCCAAGCTGGGAGATTCTGGACAAGATGTGCTTCAATTTCCTCATCTGAAAAATGGTGATAATAAACGCCAGTTTCTCCTGGTGCTTTGTGAATTCTACATAATAATACATTTAAAGTATTTCCCCTCAATGCAGGGCATACAGTTGGTCCTCATTAAACTGAAATTCCTAATGTTGATTCTGAGCAGCCGTGCAGAGATGCTGAAGAGCACTTGGGGATTAAACACCCTGGGGCTTAAATAGTCCCCTGGTCCAGAGGGAAGAGTGAACCCTGCCATACACTGTCTTCCCGCCCTGAATGCTGTTGACTCCTTCCCTGAGAATGACGGTTCATGAGATGTTTACTGGCTTCCATCTCAGCAGCCGGTTTTTCATCACTAAAATAATGCCTCCTTTCCACCCTGGAGACACAGCTGTACCAGTTCTCCTTGCCAGAGAGCCATGAGCCAGAAGGCTAAGGGTGAGGAATTTTTCTACATGGAATTTAAAATAAGACCCAGCATATAATTGAAACACACTGTCTTTGAAGCCCCCAGGTCATCCGAGAATGGGTCCCAAGCTGGATGTGACCATCAGCAGGAGGCATGACAGGGTGAGGATAGTAGGTGGCCATGGGGAGAGGAGTGGAGGTGTCCCCGTGCACTTTTCTTTTCCTTTTTCCCTTCTCCAAGAATGGGTAAGCAGCATTGGGCTTCATTCCTGGCTCTGTCCTGATGACTCATACCCAGCGAAGCAGCCAGGCCATATCATATGGAGACACTTAAAAGCCGAGCGAGAAAACAACAGGCTTCCCGTGAGCAGGGTAAGGTGAGCAGGTGGTGCCGCAGAATCTGCCAGCTAGAAAGGCTGGCGGGGCAATTAGGGAGATTCCCCTCCCATAGGAAAAGGGTCCTGTTTGCCAGAAGGCCAGGCAGCCAAACACTCGGCCATCGGTCAGCTGGGACTATTTTTAGCCGCCCCAGTCACTCAGATGTGGAGTTTTACAGACCAGTTCTGGGTTTGGTAGATGAATCATTCAGCTTGGTCCCATGGGCACACGGCAGTCACAGTCATACAGCTGGGCCTAGGAAATCCTCCCTCCCAACCAAACGCAGAGCCCTATGGCCCCCGTGTCTCAACCACACTCTGTTCACAAGGGAGCCCATTAGTGTGTCACTGAGGACAAGAACGGAAAGCAGGAAAGCAAGTTTTGAAATGAGGGTAAGCTTGAGCTTAGCACGAGGTGAGAAAAGGAAGCCGAGTTAACAGCCATGGAGAAAAGAAGCAGAAATCAGAGGGCCATGGGGACAGAGCCGGGTCATGAAGGCCACACCGCTGGACGTCCTTTGGAGACCCATTCGACGCCTTCTCTGAAATAACCTGTGCTACCCTGAGTGGCTCAGGGGGTGGGACCTCCTCCCTGTACTCTGCCCTCAACCCTGGCCAATCAATTACACCATCTCCGGAGCAGATATTGGTTCAGAGATGAGCCCACGACCCAAGCCAAGGCAATGGCAGTATTCCTGGGGACTTTCCCTTGAGCTATTGGAAAAGATGTTCTCTACTCCCTCACCATGCCCCCACCAAGTGTGGAGTACAAGAGCAACTCTTAGCATTTATTCCTGTCATTGTTCATACTGAAAAGAGAGGAAAGCAGAGTCCAGAAAGGAATAACAGTGATAGAGCCCTAATATCAGTGTTTAAACCCCTTGATCCAGCCATGCCTGAAACACCCTCAACCAATAATTTACTTATTTAAGTCCATTTGAGTAGGGTCTTTGACTGCTGCACCAAATATAATCTTCATGAATATGTCCGTTCATAAAGTTCAGATAACATGAACTGACAGTGAAAGAGCCCAGGGAGGAAAAGAGATGCACCGATTCTCCAAAGAACTGATTCAAGCTGTGTCATCTCGGGCAGACCACTTACCCTTCCTGAGCCTCAATTTACTCATCTGCCAAGCAGAAGAAATCCTGGGATCCTGCCATCCACACAGGATGCAGAAAGGATCCAATGGGCTAACAAGGATGAGGGGCTTCCCTGAGAGCAAGGCAATGAGCAAAATAGGCACCATTTATACAGGACAGCCAAGGGAAAGGAGCCACGTGGCTCGTTAGGGGCTCTGAGATCTTCAGAGCACAAATCACCTTTTTTCCTGGCTTGCGAGATGAGGTCGGCTGCACTCTTGCTCATGACCTTCGTGACGTAGAGAGGACAGTTGGTTTGGCTGGCGATGGTGATGGCACGGAACACAGCCTCAGCTTCCAGCTGCAAAAAAAAAAGTCCCCGGGAGTCAAGGGGAGCACGAGCCTCTCAGAGTGCCACTCCCCTGTCTCTACAAACTGAGAATGCAGTGCTGCACACAGGTTAAAAGCCTGGAAGATCTGCAATTAGACGCCCTGGATCCAAACCTCAGAACTGCAGCTTCCCAGCTGTGTTGCTTTACTGGGCTTCTCAAAAGTGGAGATCAGCCCAGAGATAAACCCACCCACCTATGGGCAACTAATCTACAACAAAGGAGACAAGGATATACAATGGAGAAAAGACAGTCTTGTCAATAAGTGGTGCTGGGAAAACTGGAGCGCTCCATGTAAAAGAACGAAATTAGAACACTCCCTAACACCATACACAAAAATAAACTCAAAATGGATTAAAGACTTAAATGTAAGGCTGGACACTACAAAACTTTTAGAGGAAAACATAGGCAGAACACACTTTGACATTAATCGCAGCAGTATCTTTTTTGAACCACCTCCTAGAGTAATAAAAATAAATAAATAAATAAATGGGACCTAATTAAACTTGAAAGCTTCTGCACAGCAAAGGAAACCATAAAAAAATCGAAATGACAACCCACTGAAAGGGAGAAAATATTTGCAAACGAAGTGACTGACAAGGGATCTCCAAAATACACAAACAGCTCATGCAGCTCTATGTCAAAAAAACAAACAACCCAATCAAAAATAAGCAGAAGATCTAAATAGACATTCTCCAAAGAAGACACAGAGATGGCTAACAGACACATGAAAAGATGCTCAACATCACTAATTATCAGAGAAATGCAAATCAAAACTACAATGAGGTATCACCTCATACTGGTGAGAATGGCCACCATCAGAAAACCTACAAACAATAAATGCTGGAGAGGGTGTGGAGAAAAGGGAACCCTTCTCACTGTTGCTGGGAATGTAAATCGATACAGCCACTATGGAGAACAGTATGGAGGTTCCTTAAAAAAGTAAAAATAGAGTTACCATATGATCCAGCAATCCCACTCCTGGGCATATATCCAGAGAAAACCATAATTCAAAAAGATACATGCACGCCAATGTTCATTGCAGCACTATTCATAACAGCCAGGACATGGAGGCAACCTAAATGTCCATCAACGGATGAATGGATAACGAAGATGTGGTACACACACACACACACACGCACAGGAATATTACTCAGCCATAAAAAAGAACGAAATAATGCCATTTGTAGCAATAAGGATAGACCTAGAGATTATCATGGACCTGGAAATTAACGTAAGTAAAGTAAGTCTGAGAGAGACAAACATCATATGATATTGCTTAAATGTGGAATCTAATAAAATGGTACAAATGAACTTATTTTAAAAACAGAAATAGAGTCCCAGACATAGAAAAAAAATTTATGGTTACCAGGGGTGGGGGGAAAGGGAGGGTAAATTGAGAGATTGGGATTGACATATACACACTATTATATATAAAATAGATAACTCATAAGGACCTACTGTATAGCACAGGGAACTCTACTCGATACTCTATAATGAAATCAACTATATGCCAATAAAAATTAAAAAAAGAAGTGGAGATAGGGAGGGTGTAGCAGGGGACGGTGGGGTGAGAGCAGTGTCTGGCCAGAGTGGGCACTGCATCAGCGTAGCTAGAGTTTTCCCTTGGCCTATTCTCTCCTCTCCCTGTGATTATCACAAAGGCCACATGTGATGGAAGTCTTTGCTCCCCAGTCTGCAGGGCAGAATCTCTGGCAAAACACAATCCCAACATCAGTATGTATAAATAACCAGTGAAGGCAACTAGGCATTAAGTCCTTTCCTGCAGCAATGGGTTGTCAGCGATGGGTTCGTCCCCACAGGCATTTCTTACACTAATAATTCCCAGGCTTCTCAACACAAAGATTTCTTTTATCACTGATTTCCTCCAGCCCACCCTAATGTAGAATTCATATTTTCAAATACACTAACCAACCCAGTTGAATTTAATGAGTAAGAAATAAGAAATCTTCCCTTATTTTATTAACAAAGCAGGATCTTAGAGCTCAGCCTCTCTCATGAGCTGGATCTGTGTTCTGGTTCTGCCACTTAGAAGCCAGGTGATCTCAGGGATGTTACACAACTTCCCAAAGACTCAGTTTCCTGGTCCATAAAGCAGGGATAATAATAGGACCTGACACACAGGGCTATTCAGAGAATTAACAGAGTTCATCCTTGTAAGGCAATTAGCTCAATCCTTGAACAAGGCAAGTGTTCCTTGAAGGCTGGCTATTGGTTGCGTTGCTGATGACGCCTTCTGACCAGTGGGAGAGCCTGCGTTACTACCCAAAGCCCGAATTAGTCCAATTCAGCCCAACGCAGACACGCTGGCGCTTTTCCTTTCAACCAGCAACAGCTCCTTTTTAGATGGATATGACCCTCTGGTTAGCCATGTAACCCAACACTTTAAAAAATATCAAAAATAGCTTGCAGATACATGCCCAATGTTTGTATAATGCAAACCAGTCACTGCCCTTGGTGAGTGTGACTTAGGAGAAAGACTCTAAGAACTTGGCTGGTCCAGCCAGCATCCCCCAAGCTGCACTTTGTTAAACGTGGTGAGATCAAGATCCTGGAGCCCCAAGCACAGGTGAATATGGCCACCTTCCTGAAGCACCCAGACGTCAGAGTGGCTGTCTCCGAGCCTCGGCTTCAGCTCTCTGAACAGCATTACTCCAGATGCTCTCTAGGTGTGCTTTGAGCTGAAGAGGGGCTTCAGAGCCCCTCCTGCACCCTGCTGCCTGTGCTGTGCTGCCCACTCCAGCCCCTCCACGACTGCAGTCCAGGCCCCTTTGATCTCATCCCCCCACCTCCAAGCACTGCAGGGTTTTCAGCACCTTGACAACATGACTATCTTTGGAAGGTTACATCACCCTCCAGCTTCACCCAAACGGGCTTCCAGTGTGGTCGAGATCTGCAGCTGAGAGGCTTTTTACTAAAAAGGAGATGGGAACAGGGAGAAGAGTGGGGGGTGGGGTGGGGCTGGAAAAACAAACCAAGGAACAAAAATAGACTCTGTTCAGAAATCCCTCAAGGATAACCGTTATCTCCATTAAATGCAATGAGCATAGTACTGGGTATAGGCAAATGCTCCAAAGAAGGGACCTGGCATTAAGACCGACTTTTCCGGAGGGCTGTGACTGTAACCTTGATCACACAATTATAAATTATTTCAACTGGCAACAAAAATATCATTAAACACAGTGGAGCTTCTAGGGTGCTAATAATGTTCTGTTTCTCCAACTGGGTGCTAGTTACACAAGTGTGTTCAGTTTGAGAAAATCCATTCCTTTGTGAGAGGAACAGTTTTCTCTATGTGTGCTACATTTTCTTTTTTAAAAAGATCCTAACAGAGATAGCCAATGGGAATACTGTGATTTCTGGTTCTGGCTCCTTCTTTTACCTGTTGTAGAGAGTATGGAGCTTGGGATGATACAACAGGAAAGGATTTGCTTTGTTGACATGGAGGGCCTGGAATCTGCTGCAGGTGCCAGACCCAGGCTGATCTCCCGAAGCCAATGTGCTCTCAGCCATATGGGAAGCCCATTCCCAGCTCCGGGCCTGTGCCAGCAGCTGAATTTGCTGACAGCCCAGAGACGTGGAATCAGCCACTAGTTACCATTCATTGGTTCTTTAGCTCCTAAGCACTGATGCTAATCAGCATTCATCTTACACGTGGGAAAAATGTACCTGGATGTCCTCATCACCATACACAAATCAACAGATATAATGTCTACGACAAACCCATTCGGCCCCCTGTCGATACGGCTGATATTGTGCAGGACTCATAATATGGAATAAAGGAATAGCGGAAATGTCTGAGATTCACATGATTAAGAAAGGGTTTAGATATTTACCAGTCCTACTGAGTAACTGTGCAACACCCTCCGACCTGTATTGTCTTTAGAGAGATTAGAGGCCAGAAGTAAACACTCCCTTTCCACTCCTTTCTAATTTCCTCAGGGGGCCTTGAGTTGGGTCAGTCAGATGTGGTCTTTGGAAGAAATGTTCCAGTTTCTGGCTGGTATTCACAGAGTCCCACCACCTTTCAGAGATGTGTGTTCACACACCTTATGCGTGTGTGCCAACAGAGGGGGAGCTGAACGCAAACACTACAATGAAAAATGGGCAGCAGGCCATAAACCAGGCTGCTGCGATGACGGGAGTCTCCCGGAAGATGAGGCTAAAAAAAAAAAAAGAGCCTCCATTGCTACTGCTTCTCTCTACCACATCCTCCTGAAAATTACCTCCTCTGGTCTGCTCAGTACATGGCCTTCTGGGCCGGTTATCCCCATTTCCAACATCCGGGTTTGCTCCTAGAATGAGAAAAGAATAGAGAAGAGTTTTTATATGAGCTCAACCAAGGTTTGAAAGAGTTAGGCTGGTATATTCTAATCTAAAGATGAGTTCAAGGGAAAAAAAAGCATCAAATGGGGATGTTGAACAAATTTGTTAATTCTATATCTGGAATTGCAAAACAGGGTACAGTCTTAACTAAAAGAAGAAAAGAGCCTTTAAGGGTGGCTTTTTTTATTAAAAGGACCGACAGTCTGTGAAAGTATCAGGTTTTTTCTCCATTACACGTCAAAAGTCACACCAGTTCACTTATTCTTCATTTCTTTCAGATGCAGACACCTCTGGAAGGACACTGGCTTAACTCGTTTGTTTATTCATTCATGCATTTTGAAACCCATTCCTTCAACAAAATGCATTGAGTACCTGCTCCGGGACAGGCACCAGGTTAAGCAATTGAATTAACTTCACGGAGCTTACAGGTTTCCTGCTCTGTTTCTCAAAGTCTGCTCCATCCACCACCTGCTTCAGAATCTGCTGAGTTGCTTTTGTAAAAGTGCAGATGTCTAGCTTTACCCAGGCCTACCAAATTAGAATATATGAGATAAATTCTAGGATTCTGTATTTTAATAAGCCCCTCGGGCTTTCTCATGCTTTAAATGTTCGGCTATAATAAGCAGATTCAGAATTTCACCAGACTAAATCATGCCTCTAAACAGCATTACCTGACTTATTAGCCTTTTGGTGAAATTCTATTTAACTAGGCTAGGCTGTGGATGTGGCAGAGCTCTCTACCCCTCATAGCTGATGGCTAATTTCCTCAGACCCGGCCAGCTTTCTGGAAGCAGGAGGCTGGGCTAATCGGAACTGGCACAAATCCTCAGCAGCAGATCTGCAGTTTTGCAGGCATTCACGCTCAAGCACTGAGGCCAGTTCCTAGGAACCTCACGCTGGTTAAACAGGAGATGAAGGAGGGAGTGAGCTGAACGAGGCTTTGTCTCACCTGGAAACTATGAGATGCTTAGAAAGGAAGGGATCCCTTTGCCCTGGAAAAGAAGAACCCTTTTTTTGTTGTTGTTGTTGTTTTTTTTTAAATTCACGTACATTTTTTAAAGAGGAGGAGGAAAAAAGGTGCATATGCTATCAGCAGCCACGAGAAGTAAAATGGTCACTGCCTCCAGCTCGACAGAACTGGACCAAAGGTCAGACAGAGGCTGATACTTCCAGCAAAGTACCTCCACTTTTCATTCTTCCTGTTCCACGTATCAAAGCTTAGATTAAATACAATTTCTTCCAAACTCTGGTGACTTTTTACTCTGAACTGCCTCGTGAAGTCACACAAGGGTTGAGGTGTCCAACTAAAGCATCTTCCATCTTACACGACACTCTCCTTCCTATCTGGTCCAAAAGTGCTGCGACAACGCACAGGATGAAACTCGCTCGAACAATGGTCTCCGAGCACATTCCAATCACCAGGGCAACTTTTCCATAATACACCTGACTGAGCTCTCCTATGACCTCCCGAATCTGGATCTCCGGAACTCGGAGAATCCCAGGGATCGTTCCTTAAGCTCCACGGGTGATTCTAGTGCACTGCTCACGTTGGGATGGCCTATTCACAAAGCCACGGTGTCCCTATAGCTGGAAGGTTAAGAATAACATGTAAAGACCCATGGATGCCACCTGACATGGGTGGGGGAGGTGTGGGCACCTAGAGGCACCGATCGCTGCTGTAATTACGTCACAGTTTCGGTTGCTCCAAGAGGAAAGGGACCCTGTCTTTTTCACCTTCCCCCTCCAAGGTTTGGCACATAGTAGGCACTCAGTAGATATCTGTTGGATGAAGGGCTAAAGACGCTGTACTCTCTGACTGCTCTGCCAGCTTGAAACTTTTGAAAATGTCCCTTGTTGGTACCCTTAGGAAATACTTCTTGCTCTTTAGTCACTTTGCATAAAGTGTAGCAAAAAACTCCGAGTATAGCAGCTACCTTCATTGAAACAACGTGATAAAATCTTTCAGCCTGAGCTGAATTTAATAAACACATACACGAAACTCATCCAAATGGAGAAGCGCCCTTATTCTTTTCCTGACCGGGAACAGATCTTCCCAAGGTGGGGCGGAGACGGGGAGGCGGTGCGGAAGCAGACACACTTCTGTGCTAAGAAGCCTCAAAAGGAAGCTGGAAAAGGGGCTGTGAGTCGGAGCCCGTCTGCCTCCACAGAGGCTAGGATGAAGAAGCAGGGAGTCTGATTGCTAGGGCATCTGGAGGGAGGGCTGGGGCGTCTGGCTGTTGCACGCAAAGCTTGAGAATGGGGAGGAGGCAGCTCCACCACCACCAGGGTGGATGCCTCCCATGGGAGCAAGGCATCTGGAGCCTCTTGGGAAAACGACTTCACTATCTGGGTGTGCGGGGGATGCGGGAGAAGGCTGTCAGGGGCCTGACTAATTAACCTCCTCGGTCATAAGGGAGTGGAAACTGCACACTTAACTCACCTCCTCCGCTAGAGAGGCAGCCCTGAGAGTCTGAAATCCTAACCGCTGGAGCCTGCACAGCCCGGGCGCCGCCTCTCCGGGAGCCTGCAGCTGGACTGGCGGGGAAGGAGACTTCTCCACCATCTCTGGGTAAAGATGCTCACTGAGGCACATCCCCTGAGAAGCTAAGATTGTGTTCTCCCAGTTGCTGGCTGTGATCCCTGGGCCAGTGACCTCATCCTTCAGAGCCTCAGTGTTCTCATCTATAAAACAGGGAGGAGGGTGGGCGCCACCTTGAAAGGCTTGGGCGAAGATTAAATGGGAACATCCGAGAGACCTGCCTCGGGCCTGGCACATGGTGGGAAGCGCTCCCCAGGTGGGACCTGCTGTTAGAAGCTGACGGGTCTGAGATGAGGGTCGGCCTCAATGTGTCCCCACACCCCTGCCAACCACATTCGCCACGTCCTGGACAACTTCTAAAGAACAGCCCGAGTACTCGAGAGCTCTGGAATGCAACTGTTTTGGCTCCCCGCTAGAGCCTAGTGCCTGGCACAGAGCCCTCAGGAAATACTCTTAAAAGAATGAATAATGGTTTCTTGCTGTTAATGTTATCAAATGGACTAAGAGAGCTGACACTGTTTGCTGGCTGCCACCTCCTAGCGGAAGCCAATCCTGAACGCTTCTGAGATCAACAAAACCCTGGCGAAGACACATCTGTGCATCTAGAGCCCATTAAGCAACCCAGGAGATGGAGAGAGAAGTGCTTTCTGCTTCCTTACAAATGATCGATTTGGGCCTTGGGGCCCTTGCTTTCATCACTCTTTCCTCAGGTTTCTCAATATGATTTCTAGGAAATCAGTGGGATGTCTGATCCCCACAAGACCTGAATTCATTATCTAAGCCCGTGAGTTCTGCAGTCCTGGATCAGATTTCCAGCTTCTGAAAAATGCTGTCTTAGAGTTTTTCTTTAGGACTGAGCATGACACATACCTGAATTCATTATCTAAGCCTGTGAGTTCTGCAGTCCTGGATCAGATTTCCAGCTTCTGAAAAATGCTGTCTTAGAGTTTTTCTTTAGGACTGAGCATGACACATACCTTGGACTCATTTTCAAAACAGACTCAGCGATGCTCTCCCACTAAATGGCCCAGTGTGAAAACCTCCTCTGCCAGGATGCCTTTTCTGATTCCCCAGAATGGCCAGACGGCTCCCTGCTTTCCAGCATCTTCCGCTTTCTCCCTCGCTTGTCTATTTGCCCTCATAATTCCTCCTCCTAGACTGTGAGGTCCTTGAGGGCAGGTTCTGTTCTTGGCAGAGTACTTAGGAGGGTGCCTGGCACATATTGAGAGCTCTGGCAACACTGAAGAAATGAGAAAATAAATGGGAGGCAGACCCTAGCCCAAGCAGGAAGTGTACTGCAGGGAGCTGCGCTGTGTTACCTGGGCAATGATATCCCCATTCTCGGCGTGCACCTGAGCGATGGCTCCCAGCTCTCCCAGACAGGTGAAGATCTCATACAGCTGAAACAGAAATGAGTCTTTGTCACATTCACAAGACCCAATGCTTTTAGCAATCTCATGCAAGGGCCAACGACTAGGGCCAGAGCTAAAATAAATGGGATGAACTAGAGGAAATAAGTGACTAGGGTAGAAATACAGACTAAAACATGCACAACCAAGGAGGAGTGCTAATCCAAAGGAACTCTAGGAAACTGTCTATATAAGGAACCCAGCATGTCTCCTAGGCAGACAGGGCACACATCTAACAGAGTGATACTAACCCCCCCACTCTGCCTCCTGCACACACTTTAAATGGAATTACTTCCCACTGAACTCAGACAGAGCTTCAGAATCCTTCTTAACACTCCTGAAAGGCACTGCAGCCTGGCCAGAAGCTAACTCAAAAGCTGAAACCTCTATCTCTTAGGCCCTCAAGGCAGACCACCCTTCATCTCCTTGCCAGGTGGTATGGGAATTCATTTTCTGAATTTCTTCTGAGAAGCTGAGATTTGTCTAAAACAAGCACACCCCATGCATTTCGGAGAGAGAGAGTCAGAGGCAAGCTGGTACAATTACCCCAAAGAGCAGATGGCCCTCCTTAATCCCACAGGGCTGAGCACTTACACTTCCCCTGAGTTCCCGAGGGGTGTAGAGTTTGTTTGGTAGATGGGAGATTTAGACACGCCCTTCCTCTTGTCCTTTTGAGAAAGCTGCTGCCAGTAGAAATTTCAGTTCCCTGTCTGCCTTGCCCCGGGCACCCTGCCCGTTACCTTATTTAAAATGTAGCGTGAATGGCGAGGACTTCAGGAAGCTCTCTTGCCCAGCAGTCTCCCACACTGACCACAGTAACTCATGTGCAAAGAGCCAAGGTCACCGGCAACCATAGGAAAGCCATCCAGAGACCCCAAACCACACAGTGATGGGTTATTACCTCTGTGTTCGACACCTGATACAAATCCTTATAGGCCATGTAAACCATGAAGGAGTTCACCCCTGCAAGAGAGGGATGGGAGGGAAGACAGGAGGAAGACAGCATTATCACGACCCTGCTGCATCCTGTGCTCCCACAGTGACACCCCCCGGGCCCCGAGGGCATCGCAGGCCCCTGCCCAATGCAAAGCGGATGCGTCCCATTCTCCAAGAGCATTTTTCTATTTCCTCCTCTACCCTGTAAAATTGACGATTCCTATGACGTCATAGCAGAATGGTCTCTTCTTCTGCGGCTCCTCCCTGCCTCCACCTCCACTGTTTCCAGCCCAGAGGGCCAACAAGCCTCAACACTGCTCAAGGCAGGATACAGTGTCAAGAATCACTGCAGCACACTAGCTGTGTACACACACTAGGAGTGGCACCACGTGCTGGGTCAGCGAGCTTGGAAACCCTAACCCCTTGAGCCTCGGTTTCCTCATCTGTAAAATGGAAAAATAACACCATCCTGCTTCATAAGGTGGTTGGAAACTTTAAAAGAGACAACACATGCAGAACTCTTAGCACCAGCACGTGGCTGATCTCCTGGGAGTGGTTCATTTTGCTCTTTGTGAGTGCCTGCTCTCCAGGCCTGGGCAAGGTGTTGGGTCTGAGAGAGAACTAAGATCTAGAGCCTGTCCTAGGGGAAGTAACAGAGCTAATGCAGAGAAGTCAAGGTTCACCTTGGGCTTAAATATCTAAGTCATCAGCGTTACAAGGAAAAGAGCCATTTAATTTCTCCCCCCAAATACGCTATTAATAGAGTAATTTACAGAAATAGGTGGGACTGGGGGACAGAGAGTCATTTAGAGGAAAGGAGGGTTATTTTGTTCTCCAGCCATTAGGGCCATCTCAGCCCACAGTACTCCAGGCCAAAAGTGGACTGTAATCTGGGACCTTCCCTACCCACAATGGTGCAACTCAGGGCAGTTTTTCCCAACACAACACTTCCCACAAGTCTCTGGGTGATCCGTGGTATGACTCAGGCCCTTCGGAAGGGAAGTGGGTGTTAAAGCCATTCACTTTTCTACCTAGTTGAGATGCAGTGTGAAAGGAGACACAGAAAGAAGGGAGGCAGGAGACTTCCCTGGCGGTCCAGTGGTTAAGACTCCACGCTTCCACTGCAGGGGGCGCGGGTTTGATCCCTGGTGTGGGAACTAAGATCTCGCAAGCCGCGCTCACTGTGCGGCCAAAAGAAAAAAAGGGAGGGGTTAATCTCACCCTCTGTATCAGATAGTGAGAACTGGGGAGAGCTTGTGGGGTGAGGGGGGGATGCAAAGGAGAGCTCGTCCTCTGGGAGGTCATCCCCTCCCCCAAACCCCGAGCACACTGCCTTCCACTGCACTCCTGGCCTTTGCATCGAGACTGCTCATTGATAACAGTACTATAAAATTCGCATAATAATAATTATAATAATATTAGTAGTACTAGTATCACAGCGCTATTGTTACCATTATAACAATATTCTGTATCTTGCGGCATTTATCCTATTGCTCTGCACCGGCCTGCTTCCTTTTGCCATGGATACTGGCAGAGGCCATTCCTCATACTCCCCTAAGTCCTCCAGGACCCACTCGAATGCGGAGCACATCACACGTCTGCATGCATGCAGAGCGGGTGGTGCGTGTGTGAAATACTTGACCATCAGAACACAGAAGAATCTAAGTCAGTGGGAACCTAAATCATGGACTCATAGAGAGGACACAGACACACGCAGATACACACACACACACACACACACACACACACACACACAACTTTCAGGCCCTAAGCTCCTATCTGGAGTACGAACACATCTTTGCTCCCAGAAATGTCTTAGCCTTTTCCGAGGATGCTATTGTTATATAATAGTAATGGTTGGATCTTTGGAATCACAATGATAGAGTTTAAACATTCTTAATCTCATATGTACTAGCTGTATGACTTTATGTAAGACGTCAACCTCTCCTGACCTCAGTTTCTTCCTCTGTACAATGGGCAGTATTGCACAGAGGTGCAGAGCACAGGCTTTGGGTAGATCCACTGCTTACAAATTCTATGATCTTGGGCTACTTATTCTGAGCCTCAGGTTCTCCAACTGCAGAGTAAGGATAATAATCCCTATCCCATGGGGATCCTGTAAGGAATAAGTAGGATGGCATAAAGTGCCTGGTCCACAGTGGTACCCCTATAACTGACATTCATACTCAGGGTTCCAGGGTCCAGCAAGGAGAAGCGACTAAATGAGTGGACAGTATGGGAAGGGCAGGCAAGGGGGAAGGGAGGAAGGCACATCCGGGCTCACCTTTGTCCTTGATAAGGCTCTGCACTTCCTGCTTGACGCTGTCATTCCAGTGGGTAATGTCCACGTGTAAGGAATAGTCACAGCAGCTCTTGCCATCAGCCCACTCCCGCCACTTTTCATAGGCCTCCGTCAGGCTGGACTCGGGCTCGGGCACCACGTGGTCAACTGAACAACAGAGGCCCCGCATGGGCGATTCATTGACACAGCCTTTGGTCCCCTCTGTACAGGTCTGCTCTTGCTTGCTTAGCTACGACAGCAAAGTCTCTATTTCTTGAGCATAGGATTAACCTTAGAAAGCGTTCCCGGGTGGTTTCAAGGTTGCTGATGATTCAACTGTCACTTAGCTATGGGATCTTGGGCAAATTACCAGCTTCTCCAAACCTTAATTTTCTCATTCTTAAAACGGGCACCAAGTGGGGTTGGGGACAGGGGTAACACTGCCTTCCCTCTAAGTTTGTTAAGGGATTAAATGGGAAAATGCATGGCAAGTGCTTCACCTGATGCTTGGCACATAGTAAGTGCTCCATAAATATTAGCTATCAATTGATGAGCACCTACTGTGTGCCATTATTACCAGTATTACAGGAGTCACTGCTGGTGATCAAAGTTGGACCCCCTTCTATGGGCAGAAGGAGGGGCTTTAAAGTTATGTCTGGGCACAAGAGAATGAATGCTCGTGCTTACTGCCGTAGGAAAGACCTGGTATCAGTTACGTGAACTTGACGCTTGGCCCACAGATATCATTTCCATGCAAACTTTTTATCAAGAATATGGTTTCTTTGAGGCCAAAACCTACTCTTGCAGTACCTGCAATGGTGAATAATACTTTTAAAAAGAATAAGATTTACACCAATAACATTGGTGAGGTTAAGGCAAAAATTAGAGTTTTTCATAGTTCCCCCTGGCAGTCGAGAGAAAGTATGAATTGGTACAACTTTCCTAAGAACAATTTTGAAATGTATATCAAAAACCATGACATTTTTCATACCTCAACAATTATTCATATACCTAAGAATTATCCCTAAGGAAATAAACATGGCTATATGCAAAATCTGGGTTCTCAAGATGTTTGCCACTATTTATATATTTATGTAAGTGAAAAACTGGGAACAAAGTCTTACAATAGGAAAGTTTGGTTAAATACATAAATTGTGATACCTTCATAAAACAGATGTCAGGAGTCCATTTAAAATTTGGTAGAACAAAAATAAATGAATGGAAAGATATACATGACATATTAATTAGTGAAAATAGAAGGCTAAAGCACAGTATGTTTATTACAATCCTTTTTGTTAAATAGAAAAAAATATATAGTCAAACTGTGACAGTGAAGTGAGATTTATGGAGTTTTTCTTCTTTTCTGCATACCTAGGGTTTTTAAATTATCTACAAAGGACAGGTACACTTCTGTCATTCTTGTATGCTTTCCTCTCTTCTCACGTGGAGCTCCTTCCCTAATGCAGAAGCCCAAGCCTAATGCATATGTCCAGGATTCTGAACAGGTCCAGCTCCTCAGCAAGATGGCAGAAAGCCGGGCCAACATCACTCATTTCCTCAGCCTTCTAGCACAGACAGCCTAAGCGCACTTATCAGAAAGCAAAGGCATGGAGCTATGTTACTGATGCTTGGACCCACACCAGGGCCTTCGTAGGCAGGCAGCTGCCGAGAAGTCAGCTGGCTTCCTCCCTTTGGCTGAAGAAAGGCTTTGGTCTCCCAGAGTTGCAACTTTTATGGCCCTGGCACAATTTTCCTGGGTTCCCACACCCAACTAGCTGAAGCTGAACCCTGCTACTGCTCCCGTTGAAAGGAAGCAAAAGACAGTGAATAAGTCTACGGCTCAGGCTGTACTGAGTTCTTAAGTGGATGTATACCGTGGTAAACAGTGCTCTTGTTGACCAAGTTGGGGGCCAGGGCTGGGACGGGAGCCAATTCATTGGGATTCCTTTGGCTTAGGAAGGAGTGCCCTGGAATGCTATCTGCTCAGTAATCCTGGCATTCAACTCCCTAGGTCTCTTTGGAATTGCAAAAGTCACCAGAAAAACAAAACAAAACAAGAGAAACAACCCCCCAGCTTGCCCAATCTTAAAGATATGAATTGGTCAAAATACAGCACAGACCAAATAACACTAACCACCAAGGAAGCCTCCAAAGTTCTCAAGAACTGTAAATCTCATTATCATTCTCTCTGGGATGCTTCTCAGCCCCATTCTCACTGCTCTGCCTGTACTCTCTGCCCCTGCTGCCTCGGACCCAAGTTGGACGTCCTGAAATCGCTTTTTGCCCATGATCCACAACTTTTTAAGTCCACTTTCCACAGAGACTGGCCCAGAGATGATAAGTGCTGATTCCCCACCCATGGTATACCGGGCCCCTGCTCTAAGGCAGACAGAGAAGACAGCTGCTTTCAAGGTCATGAACCTCCTGAATCTCCTCTATGCAGTTACAGGAGCTGCCAATGTCCTCACTATAACCAGCTTTTCTCAGGCCTCATCAGGCAGAAAGTCTAAAAACTGAATTGAGGGGAAGTGTACGAGTTACCAATAGAGACCACTGCAGTTAACATGTTAGTTAAACTCGCTCCCTAGGACCCCTCGCACGCTTCACAGAAATATGTAAAGTCGGGGGACTTACTGATCATGGTGGTGCCCCCCGCTAAGGCAGCCTTGGTCCCTTGGAAGAAGTCATCCACTGTGGTCATTCCCTTGTACGGCATCTGGAAGTGAGTGTGGACATCAATTCCTCCAGGGATCACCATTTTCCCATTGGCCTCAATGGTCTTCACCCCTCCAGGGACAATCAGATTGTCTCCAATTTGCCTGGTGAGACAGGGAAACAACCAGCAATTTAAAAGAATGACTTCCAAGATAAACATAGTATTATAAGGATTTGAAATGTTGTAACTTATGTTTATCAAAGTAGTCTTTTGCAAGTGATTCACAAGTTTAGCAATCTAGAAACAAATAAAGACAGGTATCCATAACAGAAAACATTTTTTTTTATTACAAGACATTGAATATAGTCCCCTGTGTTATACAGTAGGACCCTGTTGTTTATTTTATATATAGTAGTGTGTGTATCTGTTAACCCCAAATTCCTAATTTATCCCTACCGCCCTTTCCTCTTTGGTAACCATAAGTTTGTGAGTTTGTTTCTGTTTTGTAAATAGGTTCATTTGTATCATTTTTTAGATTCCACATACAAGAGATATCATAAGATATTTGTCTTTAACTTACTTCACTTAGTATGGTAATCTCTAGGTCCATCCAGAAAACAATTTTTTTATAAACACAAAACAATCTGATATGCTGTTTGGTAGGACCGTGTGTCCTGGCTTAGAACTGTAACCCCAGTGGTTTAACCATGTCTAGAACATAGGGTGTGTAATAAATATTTTTTAATAAGTGTTTTTATTATCCTTTTCATTTTGTTCTTTATTTAAAGGTCAGGAAGAACATTTGCAGAAGGACCGAATGGCTGTAAAATAATGAACTATTAGGAGAGACTGAAAGAGGTAAAGAATCATTTTAAAGAATAGGTGTGTGAACTTTGCTATCGTCTAAATGGGTTCATCTGTGCTCCTAATAACAAATGGAATCTGTCTAGGGCATTTCACAACTCAGACTTCACTCTCAATTCCATCCTTCCCTGATAGTTTATCTGTCAATCACAGCTGATGGCAGATTCTCAAAGAGGAAGCCAAAGACGCAGATGCCTACACCAGCTGCTTTTGTATGGTCAGCATCTCAGTAGAAGTTTCAAGCCAAGGAAGGTGATTATGACAACCTCCACCAGACACAGCTTCACCCAAGAAGCTTCAGAGCACCCCAGGGAGGCAGAGAAGGAGAGACTGGGGTGGGAAGGAAGCCAGTAAGTATGCCAAGGGCACACTACACAAGACAAATGGCAAATACAACTACTCCTAGCACAATGTAACCGCATAGACCATCTACGTTGCTTAGTTCACATCCTTGACTGAAACATCCAGTTAATTCCAGGTAGACTTATGATTCTTTTTTTTTTTTTAACTAAACTTATTTTATTCATTTTATTTTTGGCTGCATTGGGTCTTCATTGCTGCACACAGGCTTTCTCTAGCTGCGGCGAGCGGGGGCTACTCTTCATTGCAGTGCGCGGGCTTCTCATTGCAGTGGCTTCTCTTGTGGCAGAGCATGGGCTCTATGCGCACAGGCTTCAGTAGTTGTGGCACGCAGGCTCAGTAGTTGTGGCACACGGGCTTAGTTGCTCCACGGCACGTGGGGTCTTCCCGGACCAGGGCTCAAACCCGTGTCCCCTGCATTGGCAGACGGATTCTAAACCACTGCGCCACCAGGGAAGCCCTAGACTTATGATTCTTAAGGCTCTACATTATCATAAGCCCTCTCCTACCTTGGGACACATGTACCCTACTGCCAGTGGCATGAATACTTTCCGCTTTTGTTCATAGCCAGCTAAGAAAGACACTCTCCTGGGGTAGGAAGAAGTCTACCATTTGCCTGACAAAATCTAAGTTCTACAACTAAAATTAAGTCTTCCTGACATCTCTTACCACGTCACCACTCTGCCATTCCAGAGCCACCACAATTCAAAACACACTGTGGAAAAAATGCAGCCTTGATTGTAACTCCATTCTAGCCCAGATACTGGCCAGTGTGTTCCCATTTCCCTCCCTCACTGATTCACCTCTAAGAGAAATTGAGAACCAAGGGCATGAAGAGTTGCCTGGCTTGGGTGTGCCTATGTATGTATGCTTCTACCAATTTTGACAACTGGTATAACACCCAGTCTGAAAAAGAAAAGCCTTCCCTCCTTTTCCCCACTGAACCAATCAAGGTCCCCTTAATCCTTGAAGGCCTAGCTTCTATCTCCCCTCCTTGGTCAAGTTTCTACTGACAGCCAGGTCTAATAGTTAAGAGTGTGGCTCTGCCCTGGATGTGGGCTATGTGGGTTCGCAATCTTGGATCTGCTAATGCTAGCGTTATGATTTCGGCCAAGTTACTTAACCTCACCATGTCTCAATTTTTTCATCTGTAAAATGTAATAAAAGTGCCTCCTCCATAGGTCTGTTGTGTAGATTAAACATTAATCTGTGTTAAGCCCAAAGAACACTGTTAGTTAGGCACATGCAAATTCAGTAAATATCAGCTACCATAATCAATAACCACCTTAATCTCACATAGCCCTCTCCTTCCTCTGGATCTCATCTGTTCTACTAACTTAATACTCGATATTGGTATTATCTGGTGATGTCATGTGCTTTGCATGTACAGACATGCCACTCCCCCTAAAAGACTCTCAGGTCCCTGGGGGAAGGGAGCACGATGATTTGGGTCTCAGTGATATCTACCATAGCATGTGACATAGTACGTGTCCAGTGCCTGAGACAACTTCTTTGCACATAGCAGGCACTCCATCAATCTTCACAGGAAACAATTCTGTAAAAACTGGAGGAAATTATTTCTGGTTTTATCGCAGTGCCGGGCACATACTATATACTCAGTAAAAGGTAGCTCTTACAAAAGTCTCTATGTGTTAAGTACTGGGTTAAGTGCTGCAGATACAGAGAAGAATAAGATATGGTCCTTGCTCTAAGAGGGCCAACAGTGTCAGAATTGCTACGATTGATAAAAGCACAGGGCTTTTAAAAGCTCAACAAAGGGAAAGCTAGCCTAGATTTAGGGGCTGGTAAGGAATGTTGGCCTACAGAAAGTTGTATCTAAGCCAAGTTTCCAGAGATAAGTAAGCATTCTATAACCAGAATCTTAAGCTAGCCAATGAAGCTGAATAAGATAAAAATAAAACTCAATGAGGCCAGGGATGGCTCATATGGTGGGTTGGATATACCAGTTTTATACAATATCTTATCAATGTGGGGAAGTACCCTGCTTTATGTGATGAAGGCTATGTGTAAATCAAATCCTTTTTTAAAGGTCACTATGAAGCTACACATAAAGGTTACCTGGCTGTGCTGCTTACAGGCATCCAAGAGCAAACCATTTTGTAAAGTAATTATATATCCCTAAAGTATCTATTTGGAAATCTTGCCTGTCCTATGTATGTCCTATCTGTGCTCTGCCTATCCAAGTCCTACCTAAGTCAAGGTTCACTTTAAATGCCCTCTCCATCTTAAAACCTTCCTCTGAAGGGATTTCTCCTCCCTGTGCACTTCTAAATTACTTATCCTCATTTGAACTCCTTTGGTACCTATTACACTAGGCCTTATATTTTTAGGGTGCTGTAATTTGTGGACGTTTTCCAGTGACCTTAAGGACAGTGGTGACATCTCCCAGTTCTCCAAGACACATAGAGTGCCCATCAATGCAGCTTGCCCAAAGGGGCCCTTAGCATCATTTGGGTGACTGAGTTCAGATTTTTCCTTTCATTCATGTCATCCAAGTGAACTAAGGCTAGCTTCCATTTTTAAGGGATTATGTGCATCCGGACTGAAGGGCTAAAATAAAAACTCATTTTTAAGGAGGAGAAATGCAACACACAGAAGCAACGGGCCAGTAAGCAAAAAAGAAGCAAGTTTCCTTCTGAGCCTCTAACGAAGAAAGTTCAAAAGACAAAGCAAAGGGTACTATATACCTACTTTATTAAGCCATCTTCCATGTAAATATCAGCATAAAAGGATTGATCATCGTTGACGATTCTGCCTCCCTTGATCAGAAGACGGTCGCTCTAGAAAAGAAGGAAAACAGGAGTCATTCTCACAGCTAGGATTTCAGAGAAGAGAGGTCTGCCGAGGTTCTCCCAATTCATTGTTTTAGAGGTTTAGCAGAAACCATTTTCTTAAGACATCTGTGTGCTCAGTGCACTCAGTCTTTCTGTTAGGTATCCAGTCTTTCTCGTTTGACCCTATTCAAATTATTCTGGAGTTTCACCTCTTGCTTCTGCAACCTATCACAACCACTCAGAAATGTAGCTACTCTTTAATACTGGCTTTTTCCAGAAAGCATTATATAATGCAAAGTGGCATAACATCTACCTCAGTGCCTAGCACTCTGCCTGATATTCTGTTGGCACTCAATAGTGATTCCCAAGAACAGAACTTAGGGTCAGGCATACAATGAAATGGCCTTTAAAAGTCTTTATATGACAGGGGGATCATGTTATGTTTAAAATTCAGGATACTTATACATGTGCACACATGCACACAAAGTTGTGGCATGTATAACTCAAGGTGGAGAAATTATGCAGGATTCATATTTGCTTCACTATACTCAGTATTTCTCACATTCTGTGAAACATATTTCTTTATTGCTTTTCTTATGAAAAAAAATTTCCTTTCTTATGAGAAACGTCTTTTTAAAAATTATAACTTAAATGGGGCTTCCCTGGTGGCGCAGTGGTTGAGAGTCCGCCTGCCGATGCAGGGGACACGGGTTCGTGCCCCGGTCCGGGAGGATCCCACGTGCCGCGGAGCGGCTGGGCCCATGAGCCATGGCTGCTGAGCCTGCGCGTCCGGAGCCTGTGCTCCGCAGCGGGAGAGGCCACAGCAGTGAGAGGCCCACGTACCGCAAAATTAAAAAAAAAAATTATAACTTAAATGAAGTTTGGATAAGTGATCCAACTGGAAACAAGGCACATACACTCCGAGGTTATTAATAAAATATAAACATATATTTTATTTATAAGTCAGGAGAGACACAAATCACTTGTCAGCTTTAGAGATCACAGATTTCATTAAATGAATGGAGCTTAGACCACAGCATGAAGGATGGACATAGCTTTGCTGCGTTCACGGGGGAGAAGAGAATCCCTAGGAGCCTGGATGAGTGGAACCTGAAGAGCCTGAAGAACAACGGTGGGCTGCAGTTTGTTAAGAATTCAACTCTCCACCCATCCATCCATCCATTATTCACATATCCACTCACTCAGCAAATGAGTATCTAATATTTATTGTTAAATAGGTGGGGAGGATACAGTTGTGAGTGAGCCACACCATCAAGGTCACTGCCTGGATGGAACTTAAGGGGAAGTCTAGCAATAAAGAAATAAAGTCATCAAAATAAGTAAAACAATGTAAAATTGTATCAAGTGTCACAAAATACAAGGGAGTGGGGCTTGTTTAAATAGAGGCTGGAAAAGGCCTTTTCAGAGAAGATCAATTTAGATGGAGAACTGCAAGCAGAGGGAACAGTGTGTGCAAAGGCCCTGTGGTAGGAAGTTTTGTTTCTTTGAAAACCTGAGAGAGATCAGTGTGGAGGAAGCTTAGGGATCAAGGAGGGAAATGGCATGAGATGATGCTGGTGAGGTAGGGCTTTCAAAAAAGGACATAGGTTTAATGGGGGAAGCCCCACAGACAGGCTGACTTCTAGCTTCCGAAATCAACGACTGTGAACAGGGCCAGAAAATGAGAATTGAAGCTAGGACTCCTCTGAAGATACAGCCAATTACCACTTACTCTCTCCTGCTTCCAAGGTATTGGGTAAGAATAAGAAATTTCATCATACTGTATTGTCAGGGGGAAGGATTTTTTAAAGATACAGATCAATGAGGTTGAGACATTTGTTGAGACAAAACCTACATATATGGCAAAGAAGATGTGCTAATGAGGTCAAATACAAAATACTACCACGCGTGATCTCCAAGCCCCTCAGGAGCTGGCCTCTGTCAGTACATCCACTCTGTTAGGTTCTATCACATGTTGCCTCATATTTTATATGGTGGCAAAACTAAGAGACATGTAGTTCTAGCCGCCTATCAGGCTCTCTGGCCACTAAGCCTTTGCAAAGATGTTCTCTCAGCCTTCTCCTATGTTCACCTACCACTGACAACCATCCTCTCCATTGTCAAGCCTCAATCAAAGGGCTTTTCCCCTAGGATGCACTACCTGACTTTCCAGCAAATTCTACCTGCTCCCACGGTAGCTGAAACAATGAATTGTTCTACAAGAGTTGGTTTACTATTCATTGGTCTCCTGACTAGACCAAAGACTCCTGTAGTCTTAGAACTATGTGTCTTTTGATCTTTTTACCTTATTCCCATCTTCGATAGCTGTTAAATATTGGTCAAATGAATGGCTGAAGGGTGGGACACAGGAGGTTGTATTACATATCAGAATGATAAAAAGGCCATCTGAGTCAGAAAGTTATGTGAAGTGGTCGGAATATTGGACTTCTAAGGGAAAAAAATGTTAATTGAAGGCTACTGTAATCTACCACTTAAACGGTAATTGCAAAATTATAGGAGGCAGTCCTAGGACTGTGCTTCTCAAACTACGGTGCACATTAGAAAAATATAGATTCCCAGGCCCTGCTCTAAGCCAACAACTATGTATTTTATAAGCTCTATAAACGGCTCTTAGGCAGCCATCAGCCAGCCCACACCAAGTCACAGACGAGCACCAGGAACCACTGCCCCGGACACAGTTTGTGTGTCTGTGAAGGCAACAAAAGCTTCTCCAGCAGGAGCTTCATACTAATAATAATCTTGGTAATTATAAGAGTTCCCTCTCACAGCTCAGTGCTTTTCTGATGCTCTTTATCTTTCTAGCAAAGAGCTGAAGCAAGCTGGGTTAGGGAAAGGAGCCAGTTACTGCCTGAACTGAGCCCGGCCATGAAATATGACCATCCTCCTGCCCGGGGGCATCCAGTCCTGAGCCACTGGGGATCATCACTTCCTTCAATAAGCATCAAATATCAACAAAGGGGAAAAAGCTATCTCAGGCCCCTGGTACATCAGGGGTGTAGTAAGAGGTGACCCAAGTGGAATTAACATCACTGAGATGGCATTGTTAAAAACTGTTCAAATGCTAGTGAAATAAGCTTGACTCAATCATCAGGAACCTAAACAGAGCACAAAGATGAACTGTAGGCCTGGTGTAAGTTTCAGAGATGGGAGTAACAAGACCTCTGCTCTATGCACTATAGTATGAATATTATTATTTGTCTTTATCACGTAGAGCAGAGATATCAAAACCACAACTCACAGAGCTAAAGCAAATGCTGTTCCTGGGGGGGTCTCCAGCTTGCCCTCTGAACTTTTATTAAAGTGGTTAATAAAACTGCTTTATTAATTTTAACTCTTTCCATGCATGTGGGATCCACTACAAAGGACAACCCAAGCAAACAGTCATCAGACACAGAAGCATCTGAAAGGCAAGTCTTGGACTTGGCATTGAAGAATGATGCAACGACTGACCACTCCCAGGCCACAGAAAACCAGACCTCCCTGGTTACGGAACATGCTTGTCTGTGAAGTCATGGACCAGCCTTAGACAGTAACACATTCTGGGGCCCAAAGCCAACAAGATGAACAGCTCTGACAGCTCTGGTTAAAAGTTACCCTCGACGGTGTTAGAAAGGTGAGTGTGGCTCTGAGGGGCTCTTTGCTCTCTGTTCTCAGTAGCTGAGGCGGTCAGGAACCCGAGAGCTGACGCCCGAGGAGGTAAAGTGGTCTAGATGGGAGCCAACCAATGTTTCTCATGCATTAATAGGTATAAAGGATGATTGTACTTCTAGAGCACACAGGGATAGTCTGGAGGGTATTTGGAACCCAAGATGAAGCTCTTTAGAGCCTGCAGCACCAGGCCAAGGACTCTGGCTGCTTTGGGCCCTGCACGGCCACCAGGGCTGAGTGAAGCCTGGTCTTGCGGCCCAGAGGTGTGCCAGGGGTGCCAGCTGCCAAGCTTGGGCTCCACTGGGTTCTCCCACTACTAGGAGAATCGGGCTGACCACTTAACCAGGTGTGTGATCTTGAGTTAGGACGTAACCTCTCAGCACCTCAAGTTTTTTATTAGCTCAGAGTGGATAATAACACCTAGCTCACCTCTCAGGGTGGCTGCCAGGATTAAATGAGTGGATGAAGGGGGAAAGGTGTGTGTGTGTGTGTGTGTGTGTGTGTGTGTGTGTGTGTGTGTATATGTATATATAAAATATCTAACACAGTAAACACGTGTGTGTGTGTGTGTGTGTGTGTACATGTATATATAAAATATCTAACACAGTAAACACCTATAAATATTAGTTATATTTATTCCACTCGTTATTTACAGTACTTTAAATTTTTTAAAAAATGCCTTAAATTAAGAAGCATACCGGGGACGGATTATTGTTCCCATTTTCCCAATGAGATTACACAGAGAGACAGGTGACTTTCTCCAAGTGACAGCGTTGATTAGTTCCAGTTGCAAGTAAATCCAGGTCTCCCATCTCTTGGCACCAAACTGCTTTCCACCTGAGGCCACTGCACCAATAGTGCCTAAACCATATGCCAAGTGGCTCTTTCCAACAGGGCTGTCCTCTCTGACACTGCATCTGACAGTTCCAGAGAAGGAACGGCTGACTTCCTCTGCGGTAGGAAACTTCAGGAATCCAATCACTTGTAAGCCACTACTTATAAAATCAGTGGATTAGACCTGCCCCTTATGGCCTGAATGTGTTAATGCAGCTTATAAAGGGACGTGATTTACAGTCCAGGGTAGCAGAGGCCCTTGAAGTTTGATAAAGTCCAACCCTTTTTCCTTCACTAGGATATGACAATGATTAGAAAAATCAAGCATAAAAAATCAAGAGTCTGTGAGAAAATGGGAGAGAAAAGAGACAGAGGAAACAAAGAAAAGAAGGAAGGGAGTGAGAAAAGACAGAGGTACAGAGGGGACAGGGGGAGCAAGAGAGGGAAGGGAGGGGCTTCCCTGGTGGCGCAGTGGTTGAGAGTCCGCCTGCTGATGCAGGGGACATGGGTTTGTGTCCCGGTCCGGGAAGATCCCACATCCCACATGCCGCGGAGCGGCTGGGCCCGTGAGCCATGGCCGCTGAGCCTGCGCGTCCGGAGCCTGTGCTCCACAACGGGAAGAGGCCACAGCAGTGAGAGGCCCCCGTACCGAGAAAAAAAAAAAAAAAAAAAAAGAGAGGGAGGGGAGGAGGAAATAAACTTATAACAAGGGATGCTGTTAAGAATGGCTGTGATTCAAACTAGAATAGAAAATGCAAAGACAGGATCTTGAACTTAAGCCGGTTGGAGATGCTGGTTCCCATTTTAGTTTTCCTCACCTAGTCTTCAACGTAAAGAACTTAAATTACCACGTCTGTCTGAGCTAATGAGAATATGCCTCCCAGAGAACCCAGAGCCCTCCGTGGATTTCTTCCCAGTCAGTAAAATCAGCCCCAGAACAGTACTTAGGACACATCTGTCCTATACTCTGCAGACATGCCAGCAGCTCAGAATAAAAACTATAATCCTAGGAAGAGAAAAAGAGAATATAAACTGAAGGAGTCTTCCACAATAAAATCTTTTAGTACCTGTGTTCAAATCACAATGCGCAGACTCTGACCCTCGGTGGGGACTCAAGATCCTTTCAAAGTCCAGATGAAGGCACAGGTGGTTGTTTAAAATAAATTCCCATCTGGGTAATTAGATTTGACTCCCTAAAAACACTCCCATGCTTAAGAATACAACAGGATGGATAGACTACACAGATGAAATCTTGCAGCTTTTCTTCCCCAAAGCAGCATCATTAAAGAAGACAGAGAAAAGGCTTTCTAAGATAGTCCTGGTTGCCTCAACATGGTATTTAGGAAAAGGTACTGAATAGGCTTTCAGGAGACCAGAGATCTCATCCCACCTCTGCTGTTAAACATGCAACCTCGGGTGAGATGCACAGGCATGAGTTTGAATTCTGCAACGAACCCTACCTGTGTTTGGGAGAGTGACTTCACCTCTCTGGGCTTCAGTTACTTCATCTGTGAAACGGGGGACAATGATATCTTTCTCTCAGGGTGCTGGTTAGCATTATGGGGGTTCCTATATGTAAAGGGTTGAACTCTGCTTGGCAATTTATAGATGCTTAGTACATGTGAGCTACTATCATAATTATTCTTCCTTTCAATCATAACTGGCCACTGTACAATGGCCCTCTCAGAAATATTCTAGAAGAACTGAACTAACACTTTGTTAATCAAAATCTAACAGACCTTGCCATAAAGGGAATTCCAGAGGCGCCAGTCCCCAGCCAACCCCCAGCAACTGTTTTCAGCTCCTGCCACCAGCTGCCAAGGTCAGCCAAGACTTCTTCTTTTAAACCCACTCCCGCAGGACAAGTTCCCACGGCCCCTCCAGGTCACTCTTGCGCTGGAAATAAGGCTCCATGAGCAGATAACAATCTACTTGCTCTCCCCCAGCAGGA